TCACATGGTGGTAAGGCATGGTAGATTCAGTTGGCATGGCCTGCTGAGGGGCACTTCAGGGTTATGGTGGCTGTCTGAAGCCAAACTTACCTCAGCTGGACTGGTAGCGCTCTGAGGGGAGCTGGGGGTGATGAGGGGCCCTGGGTGAGTCCAACCTCTCCTATAAGGTGGGGACCATGACCTGCTCCTCTGCTTGACCCAGTTATTCTGGCTACGTTTGAAGCCTGGGAGTGAGACAGCAGCACTGGGGATGCTGGGGTACGTGGTAGGCGGGACTGGGACAGCTGTGATTGGGTTCCTGCAGCTAAGATCACACCATGGCCAGGGTCACTGTAGCTCTGGGTCATTGTAATTCTTGGTTCTTGGGTCTCGCCATGCAGAGCCCTGGGACATGGCCCTGTGGGGTCTGGTGTGTGCCAGTAGTCATTGTTGAGGGCCACTTTTGAGGACCTGGTCACAGTGCAGTGTTCCCCATGGCTGGGGCCACTGCCACTGACACCCTTGGGAAGTGACTGTGTGATGTATGGGTGCTACTCTGGCACCACTTCCATTGGCTGCCGGGTTCAGGGCAGGGCAGGGCAGGGACAGGAACCTGGATGTGGAGCTGGGCTGAGCTGGTGCCAGGAAAGATCAGGGTTGGCACTTGCAGTGCTACTGACCCAGGCCTGACCGCCAGGTGACCCTGATACACAAAGACCTCCGTGGCAGGAGCACGCCCAACCAGCAATAAATGAACAAGCAGCCAAGGGGAAAACCTGGGCAGCAGTGCCCACTGAAAGGAGAGACCGGGTGCACCCGTAGCCATGCAGAGCTGCGACCTCAAGCAGATGAGACGGGGTCTAAAGTAGCCCCTTGGCCTGGGAGCGGGGTGAGTGCAAACCCTCCAGAAGAGGAGGAGCATCCCCATGAACAGAAGCCAAGGAGAACTTGGAAGTTCCTGCGGAGCAATGTCGTGGATGATTGTTGGGGCCAGAAGGTTGAGTGGAGAGCTTTGCCCTTGCAGGTGCATCTGAGTGTCAGAGACAAGGGCCACATCCAATGCCCAGGGCCCCACATGCAGCCAGGAAGCTGTGACACAGGTAGCATTCTGTCACGTGCCCTTGGGCATTTCTGTGAGTGTGGGAAAGACACACGCACTGGGGTGCAGGTGTAGTTGTCAGGGTATCCTGAGAACTGGGGAGTGAGGGTGGGTGCCAGCTGCCTCCTTGGGCCTTGGAGCCCTGGAAGTGGCTCTCACACCAGGGTTGTTAGTGGAGATACAAGCCTACCTACATGTCAGAGTATCTTAGAGAACCTGCTCATGTGTATGTTTTACTTTTGCTAAAATAGACCAGCAAGCAGAGTGTGGGTAAGGACCAGGGATGCTTGTTCTGTCCCTGTTCCTGCTCATGTCTTCACACTCAGGCCTGTGTTCCCCTGATATTCAGTGTTACCAGTAGTGGTTTTCAAGCACGTTTGGAACCCTTCCCAATTTTGGGAGAGTCATGATAATTTAGAGCTCAATTTGACACCTCAATCAGTGTCCTGGTGTACCTTAGTGACATAATGGCTGTTCTCTTGTCGCAGGTGGCTATGGCTCAGAGTACCCTAATGGGGCGGTGGTCGCAGACCCAGCATTAGGTGGCAGCACCTTGGTCTCTGGAGACAGACGTGGCATCTTGACCCTGCATTAGCCAACAGGTGGATTCCATGCCTGGGTTATCCCTGGAGTTGTTTGTCTTCGCGGGAGCTGGGTAGTTTACAAAATGCACAAAATCTTCTTTTCTGTCACAACCCCTCATGGTCAGCGTGGGATCAAATTCCCAAGACCACTCAGGGCCCGAGAGGCTGTGTTGGTGACTGCTTTTCCTATACCCAGCACAGTGAGGCACTTTGGTCCCCAGGGTGCCTTAGTGTCAGTCCCCTGGGTGGTGCTTGGGAAGGCGGAGACAGTTCCCCAGGGCAGACAGCTCCCTTTCTTGGACTGGTGCCTGGCTCTGCCCTTTGGCTTCACTGAAACCATGCCCTGCCCTCTCATCCTGCCTCGGCCATAGGCCTGGAGGAGCTCACTGAGCACTGGGGAGCAGTTCAGTCCCACACCCGGATTCTCTTCTGGGTCCAGGCTGAGTTGGGGTTTTCCAGGGCTGGTATCAGGGCCCAGGAATATGGGTTGCTTGGGAAAGACCCCAGGGGCTGCGCTGAGCTTCGCTGCTCTGAGGCCTGGGGTTGGCCTCCTGTTCCCACGGCCTCTGGCCTGGGCTGAGTGGGGAATTCCGGATCCTCAAGTGGCAGCTGTTGGTCTCAGCCTATTCAGGAAGCCCAACTGACTGCCTGGGGCTGGGCAGGAGGCGGGCACCACATGGGAACATGGCTGGGACACACCCCATCATCCCTGCTGACCTGCATGGGAGTGGACATGGTGTGGGAACATGGCTGGAAGGGACATGCCTCCTTTTCGCTGCTGACATGCATGGGCCCAGCTCCTCCAAAGGCCATGTTGGGCATGAGTCTAATAAAGGCAACCGCAGAATGAGCAGAGCAGAATGCCCACCCATGACAGGAGGAAGTCCATTCTAGCCACCAGAAGCCTTGTGATCGACTTCCTTTCCCCGTGCAGCAGCCAAGAACAGGGTGACTGCTCCCTTTGGGGTCCCCCTCTGACAGGCAACATCCACTTGTGAATACTGAGTAACACTGTGTGCACCTGCCGGCTTGTCTGATGTCACCCTTTCTGTCTAGGAGTTGAGGTAACAGATGCTGCCTACCTACTTTTCTTTCATCAACTTGTCCCTCTTGATTTTAAAAACACGCTAAGTTGGAAGGCTAAGAGAGAGAGAGGTTCCTTATCCCGTGGTTCACTTCTCACACACCTGTAGCTGGGCCAGGCCGGAGCTGGGAGCTGGGAACTTGGTGTGGGTACCCCATGAGGTAGTAGGGACCCAGTTACTCAAGCCGTCACCTGCTGCCTCCCGGCCTCTGTATTAGCAAGAAGCTGGATTGCAAGTGGAGCTGCAACTGGAGCCCAAGGCCCCCCATGGCCTCACCACTTCCCAAATGCCAACTCCATGTGCCTCTGGAGAGCTTTGTAAGGGCACCTTGGTTCAGGTGGGGCTGTGCCCTCCGCAGGTGCTGCTGCCCCTGTGTGGGGCTGATCCGCTGGTCTCCCTGGGGCAGGATCCATGTACAAGGTCATGTCCTGGGCCAGAGGGCGATGAGGTGAGCCCAGTGACTCAGAGGGAGCCTCTAGGTGATGGGTTGTGGTAGACTAAGCCATGGACTCCTCAGGGTCCCAAGACCTCCAGCTCCTGATCCCAAGTCAGAACTTGACCCTTCCTGGGCTCTGACCGACCCTGGCCCTTCTTGGATTCTGTCTCCTTTAGTCAGCCCTCAGAGCTTCCATCGTGGAGAAGGCAGTGGGAGACAAGGGCTGGAGACCCCTATGACTGAGAAGGCTTCTAGGGGTTAGGGCTCCATTCCATGGCCCCATTGGTGTCTCCTGCACCTAGTCGACCCTGACCCTGGCCACCTGTCCACCTGATTTCAGGTGCCCAACTGTGAGCTGAGTAAGGACAGGTTGTAATGGTTAGAATTTCTTCTTCCTCTCCCCCTCTTCCTTCTTCCTTGTCTTCTTCCTCTTCTTGCTCTTCTTCATTTGTTTAGCTTTATTGGAAAGACATATTAGAAAGAAGAAAAGAGGGCCCGGCGCGGTGGCACAGTGGTTAAGGTCCTCACCTTGCACGCCCAGGATCCCATATGGGCGCCAGTTCTATCCCGGCAGCTCCGCTTCCCTTCCAGCTCCCTGCCTGTGGCCCGGGAAAGCAGTCAAGGATGGCCCAAGCTTTGGGTCCCTGCACCTGCGCAGGAGACCTGGAAGAGGCTCCTGGCTTCAGATCGGCATAGCATCGGCCATTGCGCTCACTTGGGGAGTGAATCATTGGACAGAAGATCTTCTTCTCTGTCTCTCCTCTCTGTATATCCACCTTTCCAATAAAAAAAATAATAAAAATAAATCTTAAAAAAAAAAAAAGAAAGAAGAAAAGAGAGAAAAAAGATCCGTCTGCTGGTTCACTCCCCAAGTAGCTGCCAGAACTGAGCCAGTCTGAAGCTGGGAGCCAAGAGCTTCTTCCAGATCTCCCACACCGGTACAGAGTCCCAAGGCCTTGGACCATTGTCTGCTGCTCCCCAAGGCCATAAGCAGGGAGCTGGAAGGGAAGCAGAGCAGTCAGGACACGAATTGACATCCATATGGGATCTCAGTGCTTGCAAGGAGAGGATTTAGCTGCTGAACCATTGTGCTAGACCTGGAATTTCTCTTCTCGTAGATTTACTAATTTATTTGAAAAGCAGTTAGAATATTCCACTCAGTGGTTCACTCCCTGAATGGCCACAGCAGCCTGAACTGGGTTAGGCTAAAGGAAGGAGCCAGGAATTTCTTCCACGTCTCCGAAGCGGGTGCAGGGCCCTAAGCACTTGGACCATTCTGTTTCTTTCCCAGGCCATGAGCCGGGATCTGGACTGGAAGTGGAGCAGCTCTTGTGGGGTTTTAGTGTCTCGGGCAGCAGGTCGGCTGATGGTCATTGTCACCTCTGGTGTGGGCTAAAGCTGTGCGTGGTGCATGCAGAGTGTGATTTATGGATGGGGCAGCTTGCTCATCTGTGCCTGTGCGGCGGGGAGGGTGCTGTGTGCTCCTCCTGTGGTTTCAGGAAGCACAGCTCCCTCAGGGCTGAGTCCCATGTGCTGGTGTGTCCTCCCTTTGACCAACTTTGGATTGCCACTTTGGCGGTGTGTCCTGCTGTACCATGCTGCCTGCCACAGGTCCGTGCCGGCTGTGGTAGTGCTGGGGTGCGTGGGGCATGTGGCCTTGGGGGTGCAGGCTCGCCATGGTTTCTCTTGTCGAGTGTTAGGTGGCTGTGAGATATCTGCAGAGGGTCAGGGTGTTTTCCTCACAGAATTGTTATGTTTGGAAAACAAACACACAGTATTGGCTGATGATTTTGAGAGAACACGTCTGTCTGCTCTAGGGTCGGTCCTAGCCACTGTGGGCACCTCAGTGTCTTTTTGAATGAGTTGCTTTCTTCAGTGAGTCAGAGTGGGTGTTTATGTGGGGCTGTGTGGGAAACCTGAAGTGACTCGCTGTCATGCTGACAGGTCACTGCTGAGTTCTTTATGTACAAATAAAAGTAAGTGGGCCTGGTGCAATAGCCTAGTGGCTGTAATCCTTGCCTTGCACACACCGGGATCCCATGTGAGTTCCGGTTTGTGTCCAGGTTGCTCCAGCTCCTTGCTCGTGGCCTGGGAAAGCAGTGGAGGGTGGCCCAAGGCCTTGGGACCCCGCATCCACGTAGGAGAGGCTTGAGGCTCGAGGCTTCTGGCTTCGGATCCATTAGCTCAGTTCTAGCAGTTGCAGACACTTGGGGAGTGAATCAGCAGATGGAAGATCCTGCCTCTCCTCCTCTCTGTAAATCTGACTTTCTAACAAAAATAAATAAATAAATCTTAATAAAAGAAGAAGAATCTAAGCCACTGAGATAGGAATTCTGTGGAGGGCAGAGGGAGGCATGCTTGCCAGGCCTCTGAGCCTTGCTGCTGCTGTACACAGCGGGCCAGTGGTTCCCATGTCCACCTGTGCTCACTGGACTGTTCCTGAGACTGGGAAAAGGAGAGAAAGCCTGAACTGCCCAGCATGAATGGACCCTGGCACTTGTGCTAAGTGCACTCACCAAGGGGGCACCAGAGGACCCCTCTCTCCTCAGAAACGTGGTGATAGTTGTGTGGTCCCAGCTGTGGTTGTGCCCAGCTCCCCCAGGCTTTGTGCTGAACGTGGCTGGGGTATAAATTCTGTGACATGTTAGAGGCTGGTGTGGACAGGGCAGCACGGTCTCCCTTCATCCTGAGGCAGGAAGTTTGCTGGAGAGGCTGGGCTGCCCATCCCTCCGTGCTCTCACTGGGTTGTTGACTTGGCCCTCCCAGAGGGAGACAGGTGTACCGCTGTGAAGTAGGTGTGACTGGATGTGTGCCTACGGGTGGGGGGGCATGGGGAACAAACGCTGGGGCCGAGCCACTGATACCTGTCCTATTGCTTTCCAGGTGAAGCCAAAAACCTTCCTTCTTACCCTGGGCCAAACAAGATGAGGGATTGCTACTGCACCGTGAACCTGGACCAGGAAGAGGTGTTTAGGACCAAAATCGTGGAGAAGTCGCTGTGGTAACATCTCGTGATGTTTTGTCCTGCTGGCAGGGCGTCCCCTCTGTCTTGCAGGGCGGTTGGCCTCCATAGTGTTGTGGGTAGCTGGTGCTCAGTGGCCAGGGTCTGGGCACCAAGGGAGCCTATGCCTGCCCGCTGGTTGTACCCTGCACTTGTGCCCCAGAGGAGAAGTGAGAGCCAGTTGCAGCCAGGGTAGAGGCTGAGGGTTTTGCAAGGAGGAAGTATGAATAGAAAGATTTTTAAACTAATTTGAGAGACAGACACACAGGTAGACTTCCTTTCCCCTGACTTTCCTGTCAAAATACCTGCAGCCGACAGGCTGGACTCCTCTGTGGTGGCCGGACCCAGCTCCCCGAGCTGCCATCTGCTACCACTCAGTGTGCTTTAGGAGGAAGCTGGAGCAGGAGCAGAGGCAGAACACAGAGCCTGGCTCCTGACCTGGGAGGTTGGGGTCCCAAGGGCCTCTAGGCCACCGCCACAAAGGTTTTTTTTACCATCTTCCTTTCAGGTTTTCTTGAGAGACATAGGTAAGATGAGCAACAAGGTAGCTGTCATCTGAGAAAACATTTGGTTAAGCCAAAGGCCATCGCCTGACAGGCCCTGAGGGTGGTGAGCTTGCTACACAGCCCTCCCCACTCCCCAACTCTGGCCTCAGCTCTGCACATCCAGGAGGCCGAAAATGCGCATTGTTCCCAGGTGGGGCTGGGCTGAGCCTGCTGTGGGAAGTGGTTGGGGCAGGAAGAGAAGTACTTCAGGGCAGAGCAGTTCCCCTGTGGGTTGGAGCGAGAAACCAGAGAAGAGCATGTGGCAATGAAACGTGACTGGCAAGTGGGTGGGGCTCGGATGTGGCCAGGGTGACCTGCTGAGCCCTGCAGCTGGCCAGGCAGGGTGGGGGGACGTGGCTAGGGGAATGTATGCAGCCTGTGACCCAGCCCCGGGATGGGGTTCAGGCCTGTGGGCTCCGTCCAGAACAAATCACCCCTGGTTTCACCACCTATAAATGGGAACAAACAACATGATCTAGATGATCATCTTTTTTTTCTATTAAATATTTACTTATTTTGCCTGAAAAAGAGGAGAGAGACACAGACATCTTCTGTCCACTGGTTCACTCCTCAAGTGGCCACGATGCCTGGAACTGGGCCGATCCGAAGCCAGGTGCGAGAGCTTAGATAGGTGCAGGGTCCCAAGCCTTTGGGCCATCCTCCACTGTTTTTCCAGGCCGTAAGCAGGGAGCTGCATTGGAAGTGGGGACCTGGGACTTGAACCAGTGTGCATGTGGGATGTTGATGCCACAAGTGGAAGCTTAGTGCATTACACACGGTGCTGGCCGTCAGTGAGTCTGGCTGGGGTTGGAAATGTGACTCCCACCAGTGCTGCTTCTGTTGAGATTGAGGAGCTACAGCTCTTGTTTTTTTTTTTTTTTTTTTTTAATAAATCTTTTGTTTTTAGATTTTTATTTTATTTAATTTTTTTATTGAAAAGGCAGATATACGGAGAGGAGGAGAGAAAGAGAGAAAGATCTTCTGTCTGATGATTCACTCCCCAAGTGACCACAACGTTTGGAGCTGAGCCAATCCGAAGTCAGGAGCTCTTCCGGGTCTCCCACACAGGTGCAGGGTCCCAAGGCTTTGGGCCATCTTCAATTGCTTTCCCAGGCCACAAGCAGGGAGCTGGATGGGAAGCAGGGCTGCCGGGATTAGAACTGGCGAACATATGGGATCCCGGCATGTGCAAGGCAAGGACTTTAACCACTACTCTATTGCGCCGGGCCCTGGTTTCATTTTTTCAGAATTTGTTCGACAGGCATTTACTTAGGAGGCACGCAGGGCGGGGAGAGAGGTCTTCCCACCTGCCAGTCCATGCCCCAGATAGCTGCAATGGCTAGGGCCAGAAACTCCATGCTGGTCTTCTATAAGGGTGTGGAGACTCAACACTTGGATCATCTTCTGCTCCCTTCCCTGGTGGTTTAGTATGGAACAGGATTGGAACTGGAGCAGCAAGGCCCCAAATTAGCACATGGGTCAGGGATGCTGGCAGTGTGGGTCATGGTTCAACCTGCTGTACCACCCTAGGGCCTTGGGGGGTGGCTCGCTAAATAAGAACAGCAAGCCCAAAAATATGGTCAGGGTCCAGGACATCACTGAGGCTGTACCCCAGACCTAGCTGTCCCTCTGTGTGTAGTTGGTGGCATTCCCTGAACACTGTTGTACCATGTTGTCTATTGGGGTACCAGCTCATGCTGTGCCTGTAACTGGCACAGACTCTTCAATCTTCCTTGCAGGCAGTTTTAATAATCTCATGTGTTGGTGCATTGATTTATTCTTTTTTTTATTTGAAAGAGACACACACAAATTTCTCTTTTAAAAAAAGGATTTCTTTATTTTTATTGGAAAGATGGATTTACAGAGAGGGGAGATAGACAGATTTTCTGTCCACTAGTTTAATCCCCAGGTGGCCATAATGGCTGGAGCTGAGCTAGTCTAAAGTTGGGAGCCAGGAGATTCTTCCAGGCCTCCCACGCCGGTGCAGGATCCCAAGGCTTTAGGCCATCTTCTGCTGTTTTCCCAGGCTATAAACAGGGAGCTGGAAGGGAAGTGGAATGAACAGCCAGGACACGAATTGGGGTGCGTATGGGATCCTGGTGCTTGCAAGGTGAGGATTTGGCCACTGAATCATCACACCGGGTCCATACACACTAATCTCTTATCTGCTGCCTCACTGCCCAGCTGCCCACAGTGGCCAGGGCTGGCCAGACTGAACCTGTGCACTGAGAACTCAATCTGGCTCATCAGTAACATTGCTGCCTTTCATGGAATGCTCTGGTAGGATACTAGAGTTGGGATGCAGGGAGCGTCCAATCCAGACACTCTGATCCAAGGTGTAGGTGCCTCCTGGGGCGGCTGAATTATTGCGCCCCATGCTCACCTGTAAATGGAAATTTGCTGAGGTGAGACTGGGAGCTGACAGCACAAGAGAACTCAGTGCACAACAATCAGAGGGCAACAGACAGGACTTAGCGTGGAGGCCTTGCAAGCTGAGCTCTGAGAACTCGCCCCTAGAATTAGGGGCAGATAGATGAACTCATTCCATCACAAGCATCAACAGGAAGATGAACGCTTAGCTGGGCACTCAGCATTTGAGAGCAGAAACTGGCTGCTGTGTGTTTACAGCCTGCACTCAGCCACACTGCTGCCTAGGAATGTTGGGTCATGTTTGTGCATCATGGATGCTGATGCCTGTCCATCAGACACACAATCCAATCATTGCTGAGAATATCCATGGATGATGTTGAGTGGACCAAGAGCTCGATGGTGCAAGTACAGAAGAATGAAGACCTAAAGTACCAGGCACAAGAGGACAGAGCAGTTAGAGAAGCTGGGTGAGACTGGCGAGTAACACAGAGCATCACATTGCTGAGTGTAATCCAAGGTGGAAAGAAGCGGATGGGCATGGCAGAGTGGCTTACGCTGCCCTCTATGACTCTGGCATCCCTTAGTCATAAGTTTAAGACATGACCCTGGCATCCCTTGTGAACGCCATTTCAAGTCCTGGCTGCTCCAATTCCAATCTAGCTCCCTGCTAACATGCCTGGGAAGGCAGTGGAGCATGGCCCAAGAGATTGGGCCACTGGACCCATATGGGAGACCTGGTGAAGCTCCTGGCTCTGGGGTTAGCCTGGCTGAGCCCTGGCCATTTGTGGCCATTTGGGGAGCAAATTGGTGAAGGAAGATCTCCTCTGTGTCTGTCACTCGGCCTTTCAGATGAATATATATAAATATCATATATTATATTAAAATATATATTAGATAATAATGTATATATAATATATATTTTTTAAAGTACCAAGAAACAGAAACATAAGTAGAAAAACTTGAAAAAAATATTAAATTGCTAGAAATTAAAACTGTAAGATTTAAATAAAAATCTCAGTAAATGGCACGACTGATTAAATATGCTGCCAGGAAGACTGAGGGAAGATCTGACACCTGAGGATAGCGAGAGGCCTAGAGACACTTGGTCTGAGACACTTGGGGCAGGGACATGGGAGGGCTCACTGGAGGGACCAGACTAGAGACCAGATCCTCTGGCAGCTTCCACCATCCCCTAAGCAGAAGGTGGTGACAGTCACAAAACCAGGGTACAGGCTTTAGCCCTTGCACACCTGCTGTTGCCACACCTCCCTGTGCCATGTGCTGATCTCGGGGAGTGGAGTTTACAGCCTGCTCGCTTTGCCTCCTCCAATGACTGTGACATTGGGACCAGCTCACTCAACTGGTTGTCACCATAGAGAGAACAAAGCCTGTGTCTGTGTGTCCTTGCTTAAGAGGTGGGCAGCATGCTCTCTGGCCGACTAGAGCCAGCAATGCCCTGAAGCCTGTGCCACAGCCATCAGTGGGCTCTTCCCGTGGCCTGTGATGGACAGTAGCTGGGCTAAGCCTCTGGCTGTTGCCAGGATATGGTGGGTCAGAGTGGAGCTGCAGGTGGCTGCGTCCAGGGTCCTGGGTACCCCGAGTCGGCCATTATAGTCAGCACTGACCCCAGGGGGTCTTGCTGATGATACTGCTGTGAGCAGGTTCACGGGTGGAGTTCAGGAGATGCCTCTGCCCAGGTTTGTTTTAGGCACTTGTTGGAGCAGGTGAATTTTGGACAAACCCCTTCTCCCAGTACCTGATCAAAGTAACTTTCCTAGTGTTTAGCACAGACCAGTATAACTTTTCAGGTAACAACTTTTGACTGTTATTGCTCATTTAAGCTAAAACGTTGGCTGGACTTGCATGGACAGGGTTGGGCTTGGAGCTCCCTTTGAAAGCACCCAGGAGTCCCTGCGAGCCCCTCTTGATCCTTTAAGGGGGAGGGGACACAGAGCCTAGGGCAGCTGATGCCGATGGCACTCCCCTGCTGCATTGGAACTGCCTGAGTTGGGCGAGTCCAGTGTTGCCAGAATTTTCCATGAGCTTTCCATGGCTCTCCTTGAGGACACTGTTCTGCTGTACCCT